ATTATATATTATTATTTTTATATATATATATATATATATATATATATATATATATAAATTTTTTTCTTTTTTCTAATTCCGAATAATTATAGAGCTATTACTACTGTAATTTGAAAGTATATACATTTTGCTAACGAGACATGCAACATTCTTACTTTATTTACAAGATACTTGAAAAATTCTCGATTTAGAAATAATGTAAAAATTATTTGTTAAAATAATCTCATTTCAAGATAAGATATAATGTCAATATAATTTTAATCGCACTTATGATCATATAAAAATCATATAAAAATATCTGCACCAGTATATTTCCATTTATAATCATTCAAGAATGTGTTTTTACTTTTTTTTCGTTTCATGTCACCTCGATACGATATCGTTCAATTTGTCACCGCATATCGCATGTAAAACAGAATCTGGATTAGATAACCTTTAGATCTAAGAGCGACGCATTTTCAAACAGGATCGATCCCTAACTGGTTTTGATCCTAAGAAGTGAGAACCAAAAAAAATTTGCATGGACGCTCGCGGTACGAATCGTGAACCTGGAAGCGGCAGCGCGTTTATTAATTATTACCTTTCGGTAAATACCATTTGCGGGACTTTCGTTCACGACCTTTCGTACACGCGGATGCAACGTACGTGACAGGGACTCGAATGGATCTTGGCAATAATTTCGCATCTGTCCGACACTACTACAAACTTTCAACTGCCGGCCGCACGTGGTAGGTAAGCCAGCACGTACTCATTATCGCTCGAATTGATTGCCGGTATGCGAAATGTGGTCGACGTAGCGTCCGATAGTATATATCTATGTATCTCGCGAAAACTTCCTCGATCGTTCTCCAATGCGTCTGAACTATTTTCCGAGGTACAAAGATTCGAAATATACAGAAAAAAAATTGATTTTAAATAAATTCTTATATTTTCATATATAATTATAATTATAATTATTAGTTGTAATAATTATAATTATATATATATAAAATTATCAAAAATTTTCATATACAAGATTTTTGAGTTGAGCAAAAGTACTTGCATCAATACAAATTCAATCAAATTAAGACCAAAATTTTTAAGAAATTTATAATATTCTTGCTCGAAAATAATTTAAGTCTTAGTCTTGATTTAAGACTAATTTCTTTTTTTGTGCGGGAAGTGCGATCTTCTCTTCAGATTCATATCAATTTGATCTATTTGTGTGTAGAATACGTATAAAAATTTTTATTTAATAAATTTGTTTACACTTTAGCACATTAAAAGAGAGGCTGAAAATGGTAATATTTCATCGAATTACTATCTTCTTCTTTTATTTGCGCACGCGTACGGAAAAAAAAGAGATATCGAGATATCGTCTTTTCTCGTAATTGATTCGTCGTGGTCTATCTATTCAAAATAAAACCGATTCAATTGTCATTATTAATTTCGCCTCGGACGAGTCGCGCACGTGGCTCTTTTAAGCAACGTCTGATTATTTAAACTGCTCGTCTTTTATCATTTTATTTGCTAATCCGACGGGGATCCCGGCACGTGCTCGCAGTATATCGCCGTCTTCGGGAAGCGCGCTGAAACTACGCGCGTGGCTTTTATAATCTTTTTGACATAAATGTTCCGCGATGCCGCTAACATCTGCTTGTCAGCTGTTAATTGCGCCGAGCCTGAAGCCGTCAGATCAAAAGGAAGTTGAAACACGCGCATAGGATCCTCCTATGTGCCGTCAAAATAGATCGCGGTGCATATTTAATGTAATAATTTATAATAAAATCGGTTGTAACGATTTTTGCAATGACAGCGCCGATAATAGTATTGGCACAAACGAGGCTTTTGTTAATTAATAATTCACGTTATTAATTATGACGTTAAGAATATAAATATCGTTATTCCTGTATCTATGAATATTCATTGCAGGAGTATTTCGATCACGGACAAGCGCGACGTAAGGTATTTTATATAATCAGAGTAAAAATGTCGGAAAAAGCGGCAGCATGCAAAGTACTTGAGTTAAGGCCGTCTTGATTAATTATATTCAATAATCATATTGATTTCGAAATTGATCCTACATACCTAGTAATGCCAGAACGCTCAAAGGAGAAACTCGCGAGTTCACGCGACACATTCTCGTAGGAAGGCATTCAGATCATTTAAAACGAATTTCAGAAATATGATTTTTCTTTTTCCATGAAAAAGAAAGTACGTAAAATTACTTCGGAATATGATCCGCATTTAATTCCGTTCGGAAGATTATTCGGGAGACTCGGTATTTAACTCCTTCCGCACGATGCTCAATTATTTAATGTAATTAATCGGGAATAATCGACGCTCAACAATCGCAGATTGTCAGCTGAAATAGTTGAAGCACGAAGGGAAAAGTATCTCGATAACTCGAGAAGTAATGCGATCATCCACGCACAGGGAAATCGTTTGTGCCTGTGCCATGCGACGGTGCATTGTGACCGGTGACACGGTCTTTTTCTGCCAAGCCGAGCCAGAAACAGCCGCGTTGTTTACATCGGTTCACCTGTCACCGACACGTGTTTCATTAAAACCCATCCCATTATTAAATGCATCCGCGCCAGAAATTTTCGCCCGTAATTGCGAGGCGAACCTGTAAGGAGAGGCACGACCGCGCCATGCGATGTCGACACGCGATATTAATCTTCCGCAGATACGTAGGATGAACTTCTCTTAAGATTACGTAATCATATGTGCTCGTAAACTTCTTTGACCATTCCGAGGAATCCGCTTCGTCCAAGAGAGACAGCGCATCAAGCTGAAGTATAAAAGAAGTATCTACTAATAGCCGGATATTTTATCGGTCAGCCAGAATTTTTTGGTCGTGATTTCACGTTAAAAATATGATATTCTTTAAGTCGATTTTTTTCAGTGTTTTATTGTATAAAATGACGAACTTTTCCGATTGAAATCGAATACTTTCACGTAATTGATATCGCGCTTAGATCAGAGTGGAAATGCCGACTTCAGCATTTCTTCTTTCCCGCAGTGAAGAAATGAAAAGCGAGATCATTACTTGTAATGTGAAACCTAATTTTATACGCCAACCGCATCTTATCCTCACCGACATGCACGCTGTATTTCCCAAAACAAAATGAAACTGATATCAAAAAATTAATTAATAAATATCGAGCTAATTAAAGAATAAGGATCAATTTAAAACAAATGATGCAGCATAATTAATCATAGTAAAAAAATAAAAATAATAAAAAAATAAAAAAATAAAAATAATAAAAATGTATTAAAGATTCTTTATCAAAAAATCGCGAAACATTTCTTCGAGCACCTTACAAGTAATGCAAAGACAAAGCGACAACTAATCAATCAACAATAGAGAGATTACAATTGAAAGTCAGATATTTCTATCGTATATACGATGGAATAAGCGAGAAACGAAGAGATGCATATATATCATAATTACGATTGATTATATCTCAACTCGAGTTGCCATGACGCGAACACGTGTTGGCAGGCTATTAAAAATGGTTGAAATCATAGCAACGAGAAATCGTGGCAACGAGAACTGCAATAATAAAATAATAAAACGACTGGATATTTTATTTTGAAGAACGACGTATTCAAATATGACGTATGTCAAATTACATATATATATTTCATACGAAACGAATATTACATAATTAATATGTAAAAATTGTAAAATTACACTTACGTATCAACCTCGATAAAAAGTTAAAAATTATTCCAGTGAAAAAAATTCTTTCATTTCCTCCGGATATTGATTAAATATTAAAGAAACAATTTTTAAAAATTTGGAAGCTTTGTGAATAACATTGTTTGTTCTCTAAAGCGCGATTTGAAAATCGCTTGAAGGATGAATAAGGACAAATAAGATTTTTAGAAGAATTCGACGAGATTCTTCATTTCCTTCGTGACTTGTAACGTGAGTGGATATGAAGACATGACAGGATATGACATCACAAGGCCGGGCAACTCTTCGCGTATCTGCTCTCTCTCTCTCTCTCTCTCTCTCTCTCTCTCTCTCTCTCTCTCTCTCTCTCTCTCTCTCCCCCCCCCCTTTTTTCCCACCTTTACTATCTGTGTTTCTCGCGAAATATCGTATATGCGTAGATTGAATGCAATTCTATTGCGTACCTATATAATGATAATTTATCCGCACATCCGCCGTTCTAACTGCCCGAGATAATCGTCCAATCTACATTGTAAACTTTTTATCTATTCCTATCGGTATTTTATCTTGTATCTTTTTGCTTGTTTCTTGTTCATCTCAAGAATCTTGCAGGCATTTGCTAAATATCGTATTAAAAAAACTGATAAATGTGTATCGCGTGCTGATATATATGTATACGATTGCTTTATTCAGCAAAACGCTAAGTGCCAGATACATTTTTATCATGTTAATCCACATTTCTTTAAATTGACATTTTTCCTAGGATGATTTAAAAATAATCGGCTATTCGAAACTACTTTACACAATTACAGTTTCTATTTTCTCTACAATCTATGAAAATATTACAGAATAAAAGAAGCGTGTACGTATATATGTATAACTGATAAAACGCATGCAAAAAGGAGCGACTTGTCATATTGTCGTTTCCGATTTCAGCGGAGGGATAAAGACTTCGCTATAGGGGAATCCTTTTGTGGACCCTTCGGGGGATATGCAAAGTAAGAAAAAAAATGATCGTCGATGGTCACTTACCCTTCAGGGAGGATGTTATCATGGGGTCACCTGAAAACGACACAATTATAATATTGCTATTGAACGTCATGATTGAAAATGAAAGAGATATAAAAAGTGAAAAATTGCTAAACGAATTTACCGCCTCTCCCTCCCCCTCCTCCTCCTCTCCTCTCTCTCTCTCTCTCTCTCTCTCTCTCTCTCTCGCGCGCCCTTTCTCTCTTTTTCTCTACGCGTATGCGTGCAGCCTCCCATTTGCGCATTATGAGCCGAGAGATAGAGTATCTCTCGCGGCAGGAACATTTCCCGGTCTTTTCTGCCGCCCGGTGATCCCTGACCCCGGGGCCCTGCCCACCCGGGCCCACGCGCCTGCGGCCACTTTCCTACTCTTGGAGCGGGAGGATGCCGCTGCGGAGGTGCGGAGGATATTCCGCCGACCTTAGGGTCGGTGGTATCCCGCAACCCCGCTATCCCTCTCCGGGCGTTATTTAAAATAGCGAATAGAGAATGCAGGCACCGGCACGGCCGTCGTGTCGCGCCGGGTTGCACGTGCCGGGATTATATCCATTCGCGATTATTAATTATTCATTAATGCACCGTCGGTTCGCGCCGACAGTCTTACGGTATGAGCATCATAGGTAATTACAGCGTGAAGGATGAAAACGTTTGATGCAACCGCGCGACAAATAACGGGTATTTATTTATTCGAAGCGTTCTCTACTTGTCGAAGCTGTTGTATTTTTTTTTTTTTTTTTTTTTTTAAAGTAGAAATCGCCGATCTAACTTCGTTAGATCTTTTGTCGCGTTTATTATAATTGCATTTGTGACAAAACATCATTACGAAACTCTAGTAACCGATCATTTGTCAATCATAATAATCGGGACTATGTACTTTATCTATTTTCATTTTTGTTCAATTTCATTTAAATAAATATTCAATATAAATCGAGATTTTTTTTTGGAATTTAATTAACGTTTGTAATGTAATAATATTTGCTAATGACATCGACCAATGGTAATTAATAATTGAGCTACAATTACCGAAGAATATCGCGCAGCAATTTTTTTTAATAAACACAGGTATATAATTGTCATTATATAAGAAAATAATAAAGAGAAAGAAATGGTTATAAGCGTAACTGATAATCTAGAATAGGAATAATTAGTGCTTTCCGTTTAAAAGATAACTTTGAATATTTAATGTGGAATCTTATTAAGAACGATATTAATTAATATCAATAAGTATCAATAAGTTTAATATTAATAGACCTTCATTATAAAATAAAATGTCTTGAAAAAAATCATATCTAATCTTATATACTATATTTCATATAACTAAATAGAAATTATTTATTAACTACTTTAATATTTTATTTTAAAAACAAGTTATTGTACAATTATGTAATAATTTACAAACAATTAAATCTTAATTTTGAATATAAATATTAATTTTGAATAATAAATATATTTCTGTTTTGTGTGTGCGATGATTGAAAAATTGTAATTATAATTTATATTTCTTCAAATCTTTATGCTTTAGAAATAGCCAAGCTGTATAATTTTAATAAATCAAGATAAAACGTTTTTATCACTAGTTTTTTGTAGTGATTTAATTTTGTTTCTGATTACTGAAAGATTTATTGAAGGATTACAAAAAAAAGTTCTCGATTTATTTAAATCGCGCGTTTAATTTTATAATGCAAAAGCTTGGAGTGATAAGATAGTTCATAAGATGAAGTGGATTTTAATCTTTGAATAAGTATTTAATTTAATATATTACACAACGACGTATCTTTTAAAAATTTATTTTAAATATTAAATACGTTAAATATTTTCTAGGACAACAAATAATTTCATGGCCGATGCCTACTGCTTTGTTTTGATTATGTATACCATCTCGTCCCGCGTGACGTCATACGTACGCCTAAACACCGTCATTCGCACGGCGACGCTCGAGCGGTTAGGTGGGCGGCCACTCCGCGCTTCTTCGTATTGTTCCTCAAATCGCGACAAGTACTTGAGAGAGCTAAATGCGATTCTAGTCAAACGATTCATGCATGTAAATACTTCCCTATGATTAACGATTCGTAAACTTATCGAGGCGATAGCTGTTCATCGACGCATCTATTCGCGTGATTTATCCACCCGACACACGAATCGAAGTAATGAAGAAAGAGAATTATAAATCGTTATCGTGTTGGTGAATAATTACAGACGATAAAACTATCTTTAATGATGTTCAAGCTCGGATACGTCTCGTAACGTGCTTTGAATTTCTTGCCGATTTGGCTACGTATTTTCGGATCGAGAGCGCGGGGCGATGTGCCGATTGAATGATTCGGTATAACAGAGAAAGATCAATTTTTTGTGGCGAAAGGAACAGAATATTCGGTGCGAAATTACTTTTTAAAATATTAAATATTTCGGGGGTTAACGCGCGCGCGAATCACAAACATCTTTCGATGTTTGTTTACATATGTATGTGCCGCGCGGCAACGAGTGTATATGTACAAAGAACAATGCTATCATTCATACGTCGACATTCGAGCGAGCGAGTAGTGTCTCAAATCATCACTTAATATTCTTCGAAAATAAAATCTTCGCACTCTATGAACATTCGGCGATTAATTAATTGCTATAATCAACGCGAAACCCGTCAATTATCGGAGCGAATACAGCGCACGATTTACTCGCGAAAAAAATCACGCAATATACGATAAAAAAATAGTAATTATTTTATTACTACATTTACAAACGGATAATTATTTATCTAATAATTTATTTAGCTTGAATTACGACACATACCGCCAGAGAGCTTACAATTTTTTTTTGCTGACGTAAATTGCTTATCTCAGAGAATTATTTATCCAAAATGCACATCGTACATAGATGTAGACAAGTTTTTGTTTTAAGATTATCGATCGGTTTATCATTATTTTAATCATATGTTAATGATTTATCATATTTTATCATATGTTAATGGTTTATGATCTTCAACTTACATGGTTATTATCATGTATATAATTGAGTTATTTGTTGCATCGTATCGAATAATATCGGTAAACACTCTCGGAGAGTCGCATGCATGAGTAAAGGGATGTGGCAATTTCAAGATCTGAGCTATTCGGTGTACGATGGAGACAAGCCTCGCGTGCGATTAACATCGGGAGTGCCGTTTAAAAGTTGACGTTGTTTGGCGCGAGCATTGTATCCTGTTAATTAGTGCGCGTTCGCAATTAAATGTGCTTCGCGAGTGTTGTGCAACCAACGAACTCTGTGAGGAGGAGGAGGCCTGGGAGGCTTCGGGCATCGGCGGAGCAACCCATAGGGTAAGTAATTTATTATTAACTTATTCTTTACTTTCACTTGCTTCCTTACCTTTTACTTACGGAATTGATCGTCTCTTAGAAATTATATAATTATTTTAATAGTTCTTTATTTAAGGATTTAAAAAAAAAATCGAATAAGAAATTTGTTGCACGCGATAATTATATTTTACATATAATAATTTAAGATAATGATTATTCTGCCGTTAATAATTTGAATATATATTTTTCTTTTGCAGAGGTCAACGAAACTCCGCTGCTGCGCATCGTATCGGTAAGTCGTAAAGTGTTATTTGTTTTAATTTGAAGTGGTGAAATCTTTGAAAACCATATGTAAAAATTATATGTATGCAGATATATGTAATCAATCAAATATTAAATCAAGAATATAAGAATATTGTAGACAAATATATATCAAAGATTTACTTACTTACTAGTTACTTCAAAATAAATAGGCTATAATAGATTAGCAGCACCCTTTAATCTTGAATAAATAAGATTTATAACAATAATATTTATAATTTAACATTATTTTTGAAAAAGTCAATGTAAGCAGTATGAACGTGATGAGTTTATAATTATTATTTATTATTCTTCAACAAATTATATTCAATTACATTATATTTATTTTATTAACTATTTTATTTTATTACTTTGATAAATAATAAAAATAAAGAAAAAAGGTGCGAAATAAAATTATAACAAATAAATATATTTATTTCCATTATAATTTAAAAAAATTTTTTTTTAAATCTTTTCATGATGTTTTCATATCTTTGGATTGTAAAATTAATAAAAAAGAAATATACATATACACATATAATAGAAAAAGTGTAAGAAAAATTTATAGAAAATTTATTTATTAAAATTTATAGAAAAAATTGTTTATAAATCGTTACATACATTATTTTATTTTTCCTTTTTCCTTTTTTCTCCAAATATCTTTTAATGAAATCTGCATTACTTTACATTTAATCCAGGATTAAATATCATCTTAATTGGCGCAAGCAAGTAGTAAACATAGGTTTTTTTTTAATTTGATTTATAGTATGAATATGAGAGTAGAAATTCAAATTATATAGTAGTTTATTTTTCAAATTATATAGCAAATTATACAACTAATAATTTATTTAATTTGAAGTAAATAATAATTGTTGATTGCATCTAGTTTCATGACGCACTAATTTTATCTTAATCTTTCATAGCCTATTTCTTTGTATTTAATATTTTATATAATATGAATCGTACGTGAGCTGTATATGCAATATTATTGCTTTGGATTCCCAATTCAGTGACGCTTGATATTTTACGTTTTCATGTCAAAAAATTTTTGACTCTAAGTAATCTTTAAAATACACTATGTTATAAAACCTATAACAATCTTTCATAACGATACAATTTATATCTTCAACATAATGAAATTTTATATATATATATCGATACAAGCTAATTGTAAAATCTCGCTCTGCCTCAGAAAAACTATATTAAAACGAAAAATAAAAACCAGAAATTAAATTTTCAAAAATAACGTTAGGCATTTGTCGATTTGATTGATTTTCGAAAGTAGACCGAACAGAAATTCGCGCTAGATAGAAAGTCAAACGATCTACGCAAGCGTGATCTTCGTTTGGCTTGTTGATTTTTCCGTTCGCCTACGGTACCACCGCGATATTCGAAGCGCGTTTCTTCGCTCAAGGACGTCGTCCAAGGCGTTCCATCTCGCTGCAACGGATAATACAGCGTTTCAGGATAACCAGCGATCGCTGCTTATTTCTAACCGAGCTAGAGCCGGCGCAGGATACGAGCTGTCGTAGTAATCGCTTTCCTTCTCCTCCTTCGTTTTAGCCTCCTGACCCTTCTGCTCCCGCCGTCTCCAACATTTCTCGCGACGTCGTTACGCCCCTCGTCGTCTCGTTCACTTCTCTTAGTCCGCCTCTTTTCCGCGAACCTTCGATCTTTTTTCCGATCTTTTTTCATATAACGATATAGGAAAAAAAACGACGAAATCGCGTTCGTCGAGAATCTAAGCAATAATTCACACGTGATACTTCATTAATGACCGTGGAAAAAAAGTTAATTGCGATGATAATAATGTTGTTTGTTTTTTCGATAGTGATTATAAATAATCCAGAGGAACATATTCTCACAAATTTGTTTTCTTGTTGAGTAATGCAGAATTTTTTAATTGCGATTCTTCATCTCTCTCTCTCTCTCTCTCAAGAAATTGGAGAACGGGGATTTTACCGGGGATTTTTCATTATCTTCAATTAAAATATCCAAAAACAATTCTTAGCATTACTAATAGTGCACAAAAAAAAATATATTTGATACTATAACTAATGACAGATTGTTAAAACTAGATTTACGTAAATAAATTTGTTATTACATTACAAAAAAAATTTATTAGTGTTGCTAATACATGTCGATGTTTAAATATTTTTTTTTCCCTTTCTCCTTCAGTCTCTTTCGGAGAAATTTTGTCAAAGCGATTAAAAATCTGCTCTTTTCGCATACATATTTTGTATGCAGATTTCGTTGATTTATCAGTTCTTTCGATTATGAAAGATTCGTGATTTTTTTGAAATCGCAAATACACAACGTGCCGCGAGATAATTGTATAATTAATCGTACAAAACTAGAATATCGCGTTTTCACAAACGAGTCACTTACTTTCTTCGATACTTGTCACACGTGTATCCGCCCAATCTCTGTACCACGCACTCGTTGCCGACGTACAAATCCGCATGACAGCGGAGAAACAATAATAAGTCATACGGGTGGGTTTACACGATGCCGCGTTATGCGGAGAGGTTGCTGTAATTGCGTTTTGACGGCGGATAGATTTACGCTCCCGCGTCTCTTCCGATGTCTCGCTAATCAAGCGATCACCATATAATTCATCGCGCGGTGACGGACACCTGCATTGTGCGGAATTTCCATTTCGTTCGCCATTTTTAACGGTAATTATCTAGTTACGCGCTGTCTAATTAATCATTCGTTTCAAAAGGCACTTGATTTTTTTTTTACGTGATTAAAAGCGAATATTTAAGAGTGAGTAAAGTTTTACCGAGAAGAAACAGAAATACAATTTTAAAATTTGAGAGACAGACTGATTCAGAAACCTATCATTTATCTTTCTATAAATTATTTATAAGTGCGAGTAAAAATATTTGCCTTAACATTTCCTATTCGTTCCATTCGATTTAATAAATTGTGATAATTGTATAATCAAGATATTTAATTAAGTCAGTAGATTTTTATTTAATTTAATCAGAATTTTTTCGAAGAAATAAAATATCTATGTGCATGAGAATTTAAGACAAAACCGGGAGAATTTTACAATACACGCGGATCGCGATCCATTTATGAAAAATAACGGTTATTTTCTCGTACTCGTCTCTCAAATCCGATCGGACAGGGCGTAATTTGAATAACAAAGTAACATAAAAGTGAGTATGTGCGAAGGAACGACATTGCGAAAAGAATCCCCCCGTCCACGAAAAATGCGCACGATTAGATACGGTTTCCGTGTTATGTCGCTCCGTGTGATGGACGTTGCTGTTTATTTCGATATCGAGATTATCTTAAATTTCCATGCGAGAGAAAATAACATTGTGAGGGTGTCGTATTCGTAACGGCTAGTTCCATTTGCAGTCGCTTTTCTCGAATAAAAGACAATAATCGTGTCGGTACATTCGTGCATTCTGGAAAATTTTCTCCGACGATAAACTCGGACAAATAATACAATTCTTACGTAATTGGATTTCAAAGCAGATAAATTCGAAAGACCATAAAAATTGAAAGACATAGAAACACCGACGCGATAACACAATTTGATATAACTTTACAAAATTCGAGTGTTTTAATTATTCAAGAGATAAAATAATTTTATTAATATTTTTTTAATCCCTTTTGGTTTTATTATTTATTCGTACTTTTGTAAAACACCAAGGAACATATTTCTTGGAGATATGTACTAGCTTCAGGCTCGATAATTATCTGCTCCTGAATCGAAGAGATTAAACAGATCATAAAAGACGCATGAAAGAAGTTTATTTCATTATATAGACGGATTAATAAATATTTATATGAGAACGTTATGAATAAATAATGTGCTCATCGTGGTGTGCACAAAAATGTGAGTGCCGCATGACGGAAAACACAAACAAAGAAGTATAATTACAATGCATACGTGCAATTTTATTATATGATGTCATTGGAATGCGTCATCTCTACAATGAATTGCGTTATAGCATTATATTACTCGCAGTTTGAAAATCTGTTCTGTTAACTATATCAAATTTTGCGCTATAATTTATCGACCATTCTATATCTGAAACATTGAAAGTTTTAAAAAGAACAAGAAATCAATCGAAACAATTAAACATCTCCTGGTCTCGCGCATAATGAATATTTTACAGCGAACGAGCTGTAATTTTGATAAAATATATCTGAAATATTGTGCGACATAAAAACAATAAGTGAACAATTTTGTATCCCAATAAGTCAATTTATTTCTCTGGCATATCTTCCGACTAAACAAATCCGCGTCGCGAGACGATTTAGATGGAAGCAACAGATCCCCATGAATAATTCAGCGGACTATTTACCGATGGTTGCGTGGGCAACTTCCCCTCTCTCCTTGCCCTTTTGCGAGAGCTTTCGTGGAGTGGCAAATCCCTTTCGTCGCGAAACGCGTTACGCAAACGTGTTTCCGGAAAAATTGCGTCCGACGTGTGCGCCATTCCGACGCCGCCGTCATGCGACGACGGAAATGCCTAATTCACGAATCTGTCATTTATATTAATGAATAAAGATATAAAGGGTTAACGAAAAATGTTTCGACACGAAATCTGACCTTCTTCCATTTTAATATTTTTTGTATGATTTTATGAAATTTTATCGTCACAAGATATAATTTCCTGTAACTGCTACATAAATATTATCCGTTTTTCTGCAGAAAAATAAAAATTAATTAATAGCACGAATTCACGCATGTTTCATTTTGCACGATGTGTTCTTGTCGCTCGCAGCTATAAGGCTTTCATTATTATAATCGCTCGTTATGTCTTTAGAAAATTGGATTATCTTCGTAATACTATCGACAGGAAGTCGGCGCAACAGTACAATATGTAAAAAGTCGATAACGTGACAACGTGACGACTAAATATTATTTTTAACTAAATCTCTTTCACTGTGGCAGCATAAAACTCTGCATCTTCCCTGTCGCTTCAGTCGCAATTTTATCATAGTTTTACTATCGATGAGAGAGACGGTACCATAAAATTCACGACAAAACGCGAATCTCCTGGGTATAGCATAACCGGAGTACATAAGATATAATTGAGATGATATTTAGGATGTGTGTAGAGCCTAACCCAAGACTGGTATGCATTAATCCTTTCAATAAGATCGATCCATTTGGTGATTGACATCGCGTGACGATCAACCGGAGTGCTTACATAATTTCGCGTCCAAGAAATTCTCCCCGAAGAAGAGGATCAATTTGGAATACCCAAGAGAAGAAAAAAAAATTTTTCCGGAAATGTAATCAACTTCCTCGTCGCGTCAAAGCAGTGCCTCAGTCACAACAGACCGTGATCATTATTATTTCCATAGAAAACATGCTCGCTTTAAATATAATCAATATAATATATAGTCAAAATATAATCGTAGGTCATTGAATTTTGTTCCATAAAATTGTCGTGTTTTTTTATTTTATAAATCAATCGATATCGATTAAGATTAGCGAGTCGCACGCGTATTGGGTACCTGGTCCGTCATAAGGAACGGTTCTCCTGAGCCCGCCCTGTCCTCTAATAGGGTGTAGGTGTTGCTGTTGCTCCAGAGGTGGCGGCTGGACGCTTTGCAGCTGCAGATGCTGCTGCTGGGAGGGCGGGTAGTGAGTGGAAGTGGAGTTCGTGACGGCGGATGTGCTTCCCGGTAGCTGCTGATACTGGCTACTCTGGTACTGACGGGGATGGTGCGGATGGTGGTGATGAGGGTGCGGATGCGAGTACGGGGTGCACCAGGTGTAGCACTGCTGCCAAGATGCAGCCGCGTCCGCACCGGCCATCCCCTCGTCATCCTTATTTCCCATTCGAGTCCAGCCGCAATCCATTGTGAATTCAACGGTAATTTTTTTTTTCTTATCGGACGTACCGTACGGTGTATCGGGTCTGATGAATAGTTGTCGCACAATCACTCGCTATTCAAAGCAGAATTGACGTCATGTCTAACTTTAATTTGCGCTCAACTCGCTATCGTTATTTTTAAATCCCAAATTAATGTCTGTTAATTTTGATGCTCGTTTTTTTCTGATTTTTCGAAATAATGAAATAATTGTTTTTATTCATTGAATACATCTATCTAAACAATGACCGTTTATTTTTCCATAGTTTTGCAATTAACATTAATTTTCAATCAATTTTCAATCAATGTTATAAAATAATTCATTGTTCAATTTTTTTGCATTCAACAGATTGTCATTGAATTGTTTACGAATCCTGTAGACAATGCAGAAAAATTAACGAATTGAAAAAACTTGTTTCACGTAATTATACATTAATATGCTCTTTATATTCCATTCTATCCGACTTCGCAAACAATAGCACAGTACATATAAGTTTAAATACCTAATAGGCTAAATATAATTATTCCTCTTAAATTTTTTATTGAAATATATGAAAAAACTAGGAAAACAAAGTTTAATATTTGTATAGTTTTTTTTCATTTGTGGTACATATAAAATCCATTTAATAACATTTTTAATTAATTCCGCGAAAAAAGCGAAAAAATGAAAAGAAAAAAGAATAAATAAAAAAAAAGACTAATGGAAATAAATTATAAAATATTAGTTTGAAATTATATATATTCATATTCCATTTTCTTTATAAATAATCTAAAAATACAGAGTATTTAGAAAATTGTGGTCACTTCACTTATAGAAAATGTAAAAATATTTCATGATATGCCAATCGCAAATTTCATCTTTTAAATATGCACACGATAATAACCGGAAAGTTACATCACAATAATGAAAGTAAACATATAAAGAGATAAAACACATCAATATATATATATATATATATATATATCTGATTTCTTTTACGTCAATAAAGTCCTTCGAAATGTTACAAGCGTTAACTGTCATTGATACCGTAACTCAATCACGTCAGACTCTATAAATTTTGTTAATCTTTCGCATATATTTCACATCATATAAAAAAAAAAGAAAAGAGAGAAACCTCCACATCTCCTCAAAACGAAGAAAAGTAAAAGCGCCTTTTGCTGTGCTACTTTATGCTATTGTGCGATTAACAAAAACAGCGAGTCGGATGTATTACGGGCGGCAATTTGCAATTTAACGTGAATAACACGGAAAATCACGATGATGTGAAAAGATAAGAGATACGACTCGATTATCTCCACGAAAAGATGAAACCTCCGTTGCGGTGTCGATCTCGAGTTCGATGAGCCAAAGTCGCGGCGATTAAACTCGTCGTCGCGTCGTCGTCACGCGAACTCCGCTAACTTCTCCGAGGTGTCTAAATCTATCGATTATCACCCACGCGTCACGGGTCGAATCGGCGAAGGCACAATCGCGACCTCGCGATGGATTAGGGGTAGGAGGTGCACCATAATGTCTCCCTTCGTGTAATCGGCCGATTTTATGCGTGCGGACGCATTCCGGTCGGTCTCGTACGCGGAAAGGAGGGACTCGCGACGCGGTCGTCACGAGGACCGTCGATGCAATTTCGTACGCACGCAACCCGAAGAGACTCGGCGATGACTGAAACGAACCGAAGCTTGTCCTCCGCGAGAGAACGAAAGAGGGTTGAGGGCACGAGGCGCCGTCGACAGCCGGTGTCGGGGGGTTGTGCCCGGGTCCACGTGCATCGGCGGGCACGTTTTCCAGTCACGTGTTCGCCCACAACCCCCCCACTCGAGGGCATTTCTAGAAAGAGCGCTCCGGTGTTAATTCCGAATCCGGCAAATGAATACAGGTGAACATTAAGCGCATCGAGAATAAAAGCTCGTTTCTTTCTTCCGACACTCTCGTTCGAAATCATACGATATTTTCGAGCCTCCTATTAATATTGTACCTTAATATTAGACCTTTGATATTAGACCTCTTTTTCATTTCGAGGAAAATTCGCAAAGAAAGAAAATAATTTTATCGTGTGAACCTGTCGCGATCACCGATAGCTGATATGAAACCGACTAGAATCGGAATAGATCCAATCCAATCGTCATCGAATTGCTTACTCGTATGCATAAGACTGCTCGTATTTACGTAAAAGCGGTGAGACTATTGCATAATGTGTGTATCTATATATCAGTGCCGATAATGCACGCATACGATTACTTTGATATATTGCAGTTTATCGTCAGACACGTTGGATTGTCGCAGGTCAGGTCATTCTAGGTCAACGTACTCGTACATTCGTTCTTGCATACACCGTCTTCGGAATTTCTCTCGCTTCCGTAACCTCTCCTTATTCTTTTCACCTGACATTGCATTTGCATCGCGCGCGCACTAGCGTCGACCGTTCATAGATAAGCATCGACTACACATTCAGTAGTCAGTGATAAATATCGAGTAGAATACAGGGTGTTCGTAAATATTCGCACATATCGATTTCAAGGGAGACTTTCGATCAACCTCCTTGAAAATTTTCATCAACCCCAATAAATTCTGAATTATAAACAATTGATATATAATCTTTTTTTCTGAAACCATTTTCCCTCCCTTTTATAAATAAAAGATCCCGATTATTCAATATATTTAACATCAAATACTCAGAAATTAAGAGAAGAAAGATCCATCCCCTAAAGATTCCAGCCGACGAAAAATCGATGGAATTAGGAATTCATATTTTATCTATTGTCTTAAGTCGCGTCGCTAGAAGTTCGCTCGGTCTGAAGAATGCGTTATTTAAAATGCTTGACAAAATTGAGCGTTACGAATACGTGGTGTTTATTACGAGCTGTCCAAACCGGTAGGTTTACGAGCGTTCGTCTCCTCGCCTATAACCGACTCGATCCATCAACTGCAGCAACGCCGGACTACCTATATACGTCGCGCGCACATCCCTTTGTATTTTCCGGTCGAGCGACGATCGTATCCCGGTAGACGTCGATGCTTAGACCCGTAGATCGGCGTGGGCCGACTCTGACTCTGTCGTGCGTGGTGCCGCATTTGTTTCTTCTCCGATCGATGATTGAGGCAGATGGGTCGGATGGGCCATCGCCTGGCATGCGACAGATAAAAGCCTCCCTCCCTCTTCCCTCCCGCACGCAAACGGGACGATTAAAATATAAATTGATCTGGCGATTCCCCGTGGCTCTTCTGTCTCTGTCATGCATGAGATAATTCTCTCGTCGCTTCTATCGCCGTGGAACAGCTCGTCTTTGCGTCACTTAGGGACGCATTTTCTTACATTTCGAAGGGAAATTGTCAGAGTGCACAATTTTGTGATTACTAAAGGTACAGAGTATTGAAAATTAGCCGAAATGTATATTATCTGTATATTATCTGGAAAAATCTGGGATTCTTAGAGAATTTATTTGCTTTGAAAAATCAGGGAATTTTTTTACTTTTTTTTAATATTTTATCTTTATATTATTAATCGAGATTTATCGATTTAATTGTTAACGCAAGTGAGTCCAATCATTCTAAACATCAAAGCATATCAATTTTACGATATTAATCCGGTATTAGTATTGAAGGTAACGTTTTCGTATTAGATGTAATTTTGTATAATGGAAATTGATATTTATTTTAATAGTTTCGAAAAAGTTAAATTTTGTACCGATTACCTATCACAAAATTTTTTATTTATAGCTTATGAAACTAAAGACATGTATGCGATAAAATATTTATTTTTTTAAATTCTTATACTTTTTTCAAAATTTTTCAAATTTTAGTATTAAAAATCGAGTGATTTTTAATTTTATTTTGTGATAAACTTTTATGAATGTAAGTATTAGAATTTGCACAATAAATATATATTTATTTCTGCGTTTAAAATATTTTCATTTTATAGGGAATTTTTACCAATTTTTGCTTTGAAGATTATAGAAAATTCTCAGAAAATTTTTTTTCAGGTTTAAGTAAATACCTGTTAGCTTAAAGCCGATTAAAAAACTAAAAATAAAATCGTAATCGTAAGAAAAATATAATTTACATAGAAACACAGTTAATCCTCACATTTGATAAAGATCGATATTGTGACAGCAATGTCGTGTAGTGAAGTTGGCGCAAAAAGTCGCGGCTAATATTACTTATCTAAGAGGTTCACGCTTTATTTATTTCACATCGTAATAATTGCGCAATCGTTTCTATATTGTGACAAGCGACTGAGGAGAGAGAGCGAGTTTCTCCCCTCGCCTCTTTCACACGTTTGCTTCGCAACGATTTAACGATCCCCACCTTCGTCGTGCCACCCGCGAAGCCACCCTCGGTAGAAATTCCCGCTGTGATAGCTGCTCGCTCACGTGTTGCGCCACGTGAATCGCGCTGCATCTAATAAGAGCGCACGTGGGCGTCCGTTTCCGATGCCGAGCCTCCGATGCTGCATCCCGGGTATCTTCGAGTTATTGGAGGTCACGTTCCATTTATATCGCGTTTCCAATTTCCAAAAGAATCGGCGATTGTTCGGCGCCTCCCTTTATAAAAATCCTCGCCCCCGCGAGAGGATCTCTCGTCGTCGCAAAAATTGACGAGCGCGAAAATACGCGCGGTAAGTCCAAGCGATAATCTCCGCGCGGACGCGCCTAGAAACATCCGCGTCCGGCTCGACAGCGCCGAAGGTCGCGTTGCATCGCAAGCGTAACGTGATAATTACCTTTTTAATCGACACACATGGAAACAACGTTTTCTCACGATGAATGCGAACGCGATAAAAATGCCGCGCCAAAGACAAAAGATCGATCCAATTCAATTCATCGGGCGATCTTGCGCGGGTGAGAAATATTAATGACCGCCGCGATTCGAAAAGGTGCCGCGTGAAAAATAATTATCATCAAAGATTAAGATTATATCGGGACTGCTGATTATCAGGATTAAGTCTTTTTTTTTTACGTTTGTAGCGTGATTCGCATTCGCGCGTTACGTCTTTGTCGGACAAATTTTTCATAGTTCTCCCATCGCGCTTGTCCAATCCGTATTCCATGGTCAACTTCTGCAACATGTGATTTTAAACAAAAAAAAAAAAATGACGGAAAATTCACGTTCGCACGCACGACAATCTAGAAATGCGTGAACAAAGCACGCGTGGTTCGAGCGTGAAAAACAGATTTCTAGTTCCGCGAAGCGTTAAAGGCTGGGAGATTGACGATCTTATGTATGCGTCGTACCAAACGAATCGTGAAGCTGCGCGCGCCTTTCGCTTCCGGTTCACCGATCTCTCCACATTCGTTAAGCCACCTTCTCGGTCCCCGACCGAGTCGGCCCGACATTTATGCGGCCGAGGCACTTTCGCTCGGCCGCGTCGAGCCGACTCGCCTCAATATTACAGATTCATCTTTACACCAGTAATAACTTCGTAAGAGCCGCGCGATGATTACGCTCTAAATCCTCTAAATCCTCTAAATCCTCGCTAAACCCGTCTCCCGCTGATATTAACAAGCTCGCAAAGGATGTCCGAGAATTCGAGAATTTTCCGAATTTCCGAAAACGGAGAAAGTACACTCGGCGCGAACGTATCGCAATGTTTTCAAACAATATTGTTATCGATATTATCACAATTAATAATTAATTCTATCGAAATAAAGAGGGTAATGGAAGAAAAGTCGAAAATTATATAATATTAATATTATATTTTAATAAAAAAAAGAGAGGTATTAATTTAGAAAATAAAAAATGACTTTTATAGTATTAATGACTTCTAGTATTAGTAATGACGGTCCAGCGAGACTCTTCCTATATCCATTAGTCCCCACAAAGCTTACGCAATATTCTCGAGGTATCGTACATTTAACGATTAAAAGACATATCTCGCTAGGCATACGATTGCTCTAAGAGTATAATCTTTTTTTTTGGACATTGTTCCACACGGTCGTTATTACGATCTCATCAGAAAAATCCTCAGAAATGTCAGGAAGTGACAATACGATTATGATAAAGGTTTTTGCCTGTCCACGGACGACACATCGTTATTCGTGATCTCCGCTCCGAAACGGTGTTTACAGAGTGCACGGTAATCAGAAATTCATGGCTTCCTTCTTTTCATTCATAGCCAGCGCAATCATTTTCCCTCGCGAAGCCGATTATTCAGTAAGTTCTCCTTGACCGTCCCGATTGTTCCTCGTGCACATTCTCGCGTGTTGCAAGGTCGAAAATGCTAACAATGGACACACGTTAACGGCACACACACACACACACACACACACACGCGCGCGCGCGCGCATACAGACGTGCGATATAGATGTAAAATATAGCAAAAATATTTTCCACTTTGTAAATTAATTCTCTGTTGCTCCTGTCAGGTTTGGAGAACCTATGCTGTACCTTGCGCGGATAGCGCGGCGGCGTTTACGAGCGTGTGATGATTACTATCTCCGAATATGTACTTGAAGCAGGTAGAATTTATTTTCTAATCACTACGACTATCAATCACGCGTTACTTTTGCCGTTTTACAATTCCGAGCGTATTTAAATAAATTATATTGTAAGAGCGCAGGTGTAAGCGGGGCGAAACAGATATGGCAAAATGTTTGCCGGAGCTCGTTTCCGTCCGCTATTGAGCACATAACATTGATACACCGGCAGTAATCATCATTTGCACGGGAACGTGCGTGTGTGTCGCATGTGACAAACGCGCAGCACACAGCACACACACACCGATGATTCGCGATGCTTATGTGTGCGACTCGCATGTCCGGTGCCCTTGCACGCGCAGGTGAATGCTTGGAGAACGCATATATATCGTCTCTCTAGCAATTTATAGATAATTTCCTGTCATTTTTCTTCTCGTCTATCTCGACTCGCGAAGAAGACCACTCGTCGTCGTGACCCTTGCCCTCGTTAATTGTCTCTCACAATCGCGGGAGGCGTGGGTGTGATATTTACATATTATTATCGGGCATTTAAATATTTTGTTATTGGGACGAAAGAGTAAAAGGTAAAAAGAGGAGTTGTTGGCAAGCTATCAAGCTTAGGCATTGATGGTTTCTACGTTATCGTTGTCGCGAGCATGATATCAGTGACGGACTTTGGTAAAACCATTCCCTTGAAGCGGATACCAGATGCCAGCAGAGTCTGTACGTGATCCGTGCTGCACTCTACAGGAACTTGCTCTAACGTGATTTACCGAAGGATCTTTCACTTTTTATTTCGAACCGAATTTTATTTTTTTTTTAATTATTAAAGAAAACGTACCTGTGTATAAAATAGTCGGATTTCCCATGTCTTCTTTCGTATAGAAATTTTTGAAATAATTTATATTTAAGACTTCTCACACAGAAAAAAAATAGTTTAAAAGCAAGATTATGTATTCTCATATATAAGCAAAAATTATAATCTTCTTAGGAAAATTTTACTCTTAATTTGATTAAATTGAGAATATCATAATCTTCATATAAAAGATTTTTAGTTTTGAGTAAAGTGAAAATAAAAAAATTAAAAAATGATTTTAAAATGGAATAAAATAATTTTTCCGATGAAATACGCTCCAAGTTCATTTTCATTTGACACTTAAATGACAAATCGTTTAATATCAAATAGAAAAAGTAAATAATAAAAGATATTGTTCATAATTTTTGTTAAGGAAGGAAATTATTTTAAAAAATTCCACATAAAAAAAATTAAAAAAGGTGTGTTAAATCTGAAACACCCTGTATAGATAGCAGCACAAATATCAATTAACACATGTTTGACACGATACATTATTTATTCCTTTTCAATCATCATGACACATAACGATATAACAAATCATTCGCAACGCTGATAATTTTATTGCAAATACTTTAGAAGTCAAACGATCAATTTCAACAGTCTTTGCTCACATTTGCAACATAAATGAGACCAATAAAGTATATTATATCTGCCAGTTCTCGTGGCTACAACACCATCGATAAGATGATAAGTCACGCCGATTTTCGTGATAAGACAGACTTTCTGTTATCACATTATATCGTATAATAAGAAAATCGGCTGGTAATTTAAACACTTGTGCTCCTATTTCTACAGAATGCCTACGGGATTCTTAGAAATTCACAGAAATAAATCTTAATGTGTGACTTAGATTTATAAAATAATACATTTATAAAATAATATCCGCATTTAATATATTTATAAAACAACATCCATCACGTCAAAAATATTTTGTGTAGATATATATAAAGATTTGTTTTGCATTAAAAAACGATATAATGTAGATAATGGTCCGATATCGCCTTGGATTCAAATAGCCGGAAGAGAATTATATTTACAAAGATATAAGAAAAAAATTTCGAGCTGTCACGATACGAACGTCTGACATATTACTCTGGTGCCATTTTGCGCCGTTTTATTTTTGTTCGAGATAGCGACAAAAAAAAGAGCGAGGGAAATGAAGGACCGAAGGTCCTCTGCAAATAGACATTTTGGATTATGCCTTTTTGCGTGATAATGAAGACTTTATGGTACTAATTACTAATTCATTCTAAATATGGATTACTTTAAATTAACGTTAGACTAGATATAATTACATTCAATTTAAATTAATAGATAAATTCCTGCGAGATGTGATATTACTTGAAACTTTAAAAATTAAAAAGATTGGAAGAAACAGAATAGTCAAGCGGTAGTTGTAAAAAGATTTTAAATCATATAAAATAATTTAATCTACGCGATTACCTATTAATTAATTACTATTATTGAAACGTATAATTTATTTCAAAGTCTTTTCTTCGCTATTTCCAGAATGACAATGTAAATATTAATTTAAGAGAACCGATTGCTAACGAAACTCGAGACATTTTAGTCATTAAGCAGATATTCGATTCGATCATAATTTATTCGCCTCGGCCAAGACTTTCATCGCCGTACTTTGATTGTTAGTCCGATTACAAGCCTCTGTGTGCTAGATAGCCAGGAACGAAGTTCAAGGGAAACCGGTAAAGATGCGAAATAACACAAAATTTACGATTTCTTTATCGAAAGTGAAGATATTTTTGTTATGAAGTCAATAACATTTTTCAAAAATATTTTATGCAGTTAGTATATACGTCGCTATGCATAATATAGTAATGACTTAATCATTTATTGCGTTTTTATAACTACAGCGATTTCGATATAAAAGACTCGAGAAAAAAAAACAACGACACTCTGATCGTCGATGAGAATGACGATCATTTCCCTTGGATACCGTTTCGCAGAAGTCAATGGAAATTTCATGTACCGAATTGAAATGAATAATAAAAAAATGCAGGGAATATAAATCAACCTCAAAGTCGATAAGACATACAGAATTTTATTGTGCCATTTATATCTGATGGATTGCAATACACATTCTCGGAAAGGAAGTATAATTAAATACATTCCCGTCACGTTCAACGGGAATACAACGTAGGTAGATAGTTTTACATCCAAGCGGATCCTTAGATTTCTTTTCGTTCGAGTCCACTTAAGACCTTACGTACTGTTTCTTTTATAAAAATCCTTTTAGTAAATTTTAATATTTAGACAAATGATAAAACTGCCACGAATGTTTTATACGCTTTTAACGAGTAATAGTATATATCGGTAATAAAAGTTATCATGATGACGTAGCTATGTACATAAGGTACACTAAAGAATTATTTGCTAAAATTAGTAGACATGCCTGCTAGGCGGACTCCAAAGGTCGAGGCACTGGTTGTAAACGCTATACGTAGGCTGCAAGATGTGCAAGGTTCGACATCGCGGGAAATTAGTAACTATATTTCCCAGGAGTACGATGTTCCTATCGAGGAGACCAGACGGCAGGTCCAGTTGGCTTTACGACGCGGCTTATCCTATGGGATTCTTAAACGTTCGAAACGGTACGAATTTAACGCAAATCCCCCCCGTTTAAATTATCCACGATATTAAGCGAATTTCGGTATCATTTTATTTCTCGGATTTAATCTCTCGCTCGCGACGCCGGATTTTTACGACATTACAAAAACCCAAGGTTGAGCAACGGTTGGCATTAAAATTTTGTTTTATTACGGTGGATGTTATTTTGGAAATTGGTCGTAATGTTTTGACTTCTCGAGAATTGCGAGAAAAACTTACTTGAAAAGAGGCCGTTAGTGTATCGCGTTACATATTGGACGTATTTACGATGTTATGTTTTCTGCACTACGAAAAACTCGCTTATCAATGCCAATGATAAAGCCGCTGGGTCAAAAATAAAACGCAATAGATTAAGTCACGATTACGAGGGGCGATACGTGACCCACTTCGTAAAAAAATATTTTGATCCCATCGCACACGCAGTGTTCTCACTTGATCAAATAATCGTTGTGTCACACCCTGCGTGGTCGATGTAATGTTACATGCGTTGATAAAGACGCTTAATTTGTGATTAAAAAGAGACTAAACTTCGACCTTCAAATGTTGAATAATTAGGCCTATCTATTTAAGAAAAAAAAAAAAAATACATCTACTGCGTGTAAAATATTCTTCGTCACGTGTATATACTACAATCTTTCATGACAATAGCTTTAGGACGTCGAATGCGAAGGCGACTATAATAATTTATCATAATTTACTTGGAACGATTGCTGTGGTATCACATATTTTATATCTGCATTGTCAGAGGATACTACTCGTGCAATCACGACTACCTGAGACAACTCTCGTTGGGGGATGGCATGAGTGACGGAGTGATGGAACCTTGTCCAGAACAACCTTGGCGATTTGGTGTACGTGCCAGAAAGAGAAGGAAAAGGCGCGCCAGATTATACGCCAGAAAGAGAAGGAAAAGGTTAGCTAGAGAACGCGCCAGAAGGAGAAGACTCGCTAAGGAAGCTAGAGAACGAGCCAGAAAGCGGAGGGGGAGGCGTCCATCTCGAAGACGGAGGAGAAGACCAAGCAGAGGAAGAAGAAGAGCAAGCAGAGGAAGAAGACCAAGCAGAAGAAGAAGAGGAGCAAGCAGAAGAAGAAGAGGAGCAAGAAGAAGAAGAAGAAGAAGAACGAGAACGAGAGAAGAAACAAATGCGGGAAGAGTCAGAACACGCACCGATTCCGGCGAGATGGAGGAAATGGAGGCGAAAGGGAACGACGTTTTCAAAGACGAGGATCCTAAAAGCGAAACTTCTATACACTCCGTGCATTCTGATGAGCGGCATTCACGAGATTCTTCTCAAAATTCTCAGTCTTTAAATACGCCCCGATGATATTTAGAAATCAGAGAAAAATAATGGTATATCTTTTCAGGAAAAGAAATGGAAATGTGTTTATATTATAGAGCACAGTGAGGGAGTTAGTCGCTCGTTGATTCGATGCAAAATATCTTTAGGGATTAAAATTGAGTTTTATAGCTCTTTTATTTTCCTTTTTATCGAGTTTTATATAAATTTATCATCATAACTGCCCACGGCAGTATTATCTTTATTACACCTACAAACAAATTTCGAGATGTCGTGTACTTATTTACGTGTATTTACCCTGGTACTTTGTACGCTTTATTGATACCACATTACAATTGTCTTTTCGCATACTCGTTCTTGACTTTCCCTTTTGTTTGCGTAATAATATCGCGAGGGAGAGAAACACGATCGCGAGATCGGTTGAAATTGCGCTGTTCGTCGCATGAGCGTGAAACTCGAACCTCCTGAGAAACAAACGGGGGTCCGTGGTGTCCGTCGACGGCCCTGAACGCGGCCTTGCCGGCTAATGATAGTCGCGCTAATGACGAGTCCGCACACGCATGTATGCGCGCACTGCGTGACTATTTCGCCTAGCAACTCTAGGACTAGACGCAAGACGCGTCACGGCGGATCGCGGCGGTGTTTTGCCCAGCCAGCTGTGAATGATAAGTGCATGCATATGCGATGCATATACGTAAATTAGATTTCCAGAACGAGCCGACACGATATTTTAGGGACAGGTTTCTTTCAACGAGTCGTCGAGATCGATCTCTCTCGTTTTCTCGAGACAGCAATCGTCAGACATCGTCGACTTGTACGTTGATGAAATTATTCCGCGAGAGAGCATAATAATAATAATTTTAATAATAATTTTATTAAATAATTCTTAAACTTGGCATAGTAAATGTTGTTACAGATGTGTATCTTGTAATTCTCTTAAATCGAATATCAAAATTATACTTATTAAGTTTGTGCCGAATTTACCGAATTTAATTTCAGATCGTCATTTATTAAGGCTCGCAAATGGGGTTTACCTAAGATGGGATTTATCGAATATTATTATCATATCGATTCATTATGTATTTTGTTTAAAGGAACATATATTCGGTCTCAAATCTTTAGCTAGATGATGAAAGCAATTCTCTATATTTTATTTATATGGAATGCTGCGGTAATTATTAAGATTATTAAGATTATTAATTATTAAGATTAATTTTATAAGTAATCTTCATTTCTGCTTCTAATACTTAATGATTTTCCAACACGGATTTTAATATTTCTACTCAAATTTCAAGGCGTGCTTCAACGACTTATACACAATTAAATTTTTTTTATATAATATATGATAAACTCTATAAACTAATAACTAACTCTATAAACTAATAACTCTATAAACTAAACTAATAATCGATCGATTAATCGATTAACAGAAAATAATTTTTACATCAATCAACGAAACTATTGATGATTTTATATTTAAATTAATTTAGTTATCGATGGAAAGCTATATGTATTTTAAAAGAGTTATTATTGTTTTCTCTAACGAATGATGATATTAAATTTTTATACGCAAATGCAGAGAAAATTACTCGCTCTCAAAATGATCTCTCGGAAAATGTAGGATACGAAAGAGCGATCGAGTAGAATATCCCGTCGGCACAATGATGATTAAATGACTTACTAACACAGCGAAAGCATTTTATCAAGAGACCAATCACACGTTGCCACCACACTCATCTCGCCGAACGCTAATTAAACATTTACACTTGTGCTCTGACAAAAGTCTAACGAAGTGGGATTAAAAAATCCAATATAATTTTAGAGTTCAATCTTCAATGCCATGTAGAACATGTAAACAAAACTTCTATATCTGAGTATCGAGTATCGAGAATTGAAACTAATCGATTCGGATATCGTTG